TGCTCTGTTTGCAGGCTTCCAACAGGCATCTGGTCGGCCACTGTAGGAACAGGAGGCTGGACTAGATGGGTTGTTGGCGTCATCCAGCAGGCTCTTCTTATGTGGTCAAGGGCCATGCACTTCGGCGGTGCTACATAAATGAAGTTTGCAAAGTTGCCCCTGAAAGATCCATGCAACTACGTGTGGTTGGGCCCTTTCAGATCTGCCCTTTGATGCCTCTCGCAACTTCTGACTTTCTGAGGACTCTCCTCTCTGGAGTCACTGACATAGTTGGGGCTTGAATTTGTGTGCTCTGCGTTATTTATCGTTTGCCACATCTTGGAATACTCAAGCGTCTCTTTATTAAAAATAGTTTCTGGCAAGGACAGCTGGGAATTTGAAACAGCCTGACTCAACCTGTGGAACTTGAAAAGGCTTTAAAGGTAAAGGTAAAGGTAAAGGTACCCCTGCCCGTACGGGCCAGTCTTGACAGACTCTAGGGTTGTGCGCCCATCTCACTTAAGAGGCCGGGGCCAGTGCTGTCTGGAGACACTTCCGGGTCACGTGGCCAGCGTGACATCGCTGCTCTGGCTAGCCAGAGCCGCACACGGAAACACCGTTTACCTTCCCGCCAGTAAGCGGTCCCTATTTATCTACTTGCACCTGGGAGTGCTTTCGAACTGCTAGGTTGGCAGGCGCTGGGACCGAGCAACGGGAGCGCACCCCGCCGCGGGGATTCGAACCGCCGACCTTTCGATCGGCAATCCCTAGGCGCTGAGGCTTTTACCCACAGCGCCACCCGCGTCCCAAAGGCTTTAAAAAACCCCAAAACCCACACCTCTGTCAACATGATTAGTTGTCTGGCAATTATGAGGAGAGGCACTGTTACCTTTTCACCAGTGGGGGCGTGCATCACATGAGATTCTCCAACATAATACAGTGGTACCTCGGGTTAAGTACTTAATTCGTTCCGGAGGTCCGTTCTTAACCTGAAACTGTTCTTAACCTGAAGCACCACTTTAGCTAATGGGGGCCTCCTGCTGCCGCTGCACCGCCGGAGCACGATTTCTGTTCTCATCCTGAAGCAAAGTTCTTAACCCAAGGTACTATTTCTGGGTTAGCGGAGTCTGTAACCTGAAGCGTATGTAACCCGAGGTACCACTATATTTTGTTGGATTTCTTAAAAAATAGCTGCCTTGATTTGCCTAACAGGGATAAGCTGACAGGTCATAATGCACCATAAAGCAACAAACAAGCAGGGATGGTAAGTAGCCAGGGAGAATGGGAGTTGTAGTTCAGCAATACCTGGAGGGCCTTCGGTTCCCCACACCAGATTTGGAAAGCTAGAGGCATATTCCAGGCATAATAATAATAATTTTATTATTTATACCCCGCCCATCTGGTTGGGTTTCCCCAGCCACTCTGGGCCGCTTACAGCACATATAAAACATAATGAAACCTCAAACATTAAAAATCTCCCTGCCTTCAGACGTCTTCTAAAAGCCAGATAGTTGTTTATTTCCTTGACATCTGGTGGGAGGGCGTTCCACAGGGAGGGTGCCACTACCGAGAAGGCCCTCTGCCTGGTTCCCTGTAACTTCACTTCTTGCAGTGGGGGAGCCTCCAGAAGACCCTTGGAGCTGGACGTCAGTGTCTGGGCTGAGTGATGCGGGTGAAGACGCTCCTCAAAGCCATGCTGGGGGAGGGTGGCTTGGGGAGAGTCCCAGGGGACAGAGAGAGACTTGAAGACCACAGCGCCTGTGCCTGAAGTTCCCCAGCCCGTTTGCTATTCTTGCCCTCTTCACACACGTCATGCACCGATAAAGTTTTTGTTTATTGCTTTGATAGTGTGCCTTTCCTCCAAAGAGCTACGGGTGGTGGTGTACATGACTCGCTTGCTCACCATATTATCCTTACAACAACCCTTTGAGGGATGTTAAGCTGAGAGCTGGTGGCTGCCTAAGGGTCACCCAGTGAACTTCATGGCTGAGGTGGGCAGGTGGGATTTGAACCCTGATCTTCAAGGTCCTAGTCCAACACTCTAACTGTTACACTGGCTTAATGCTCATTTTTGTGCATTCACACAAGGGATGTATTCCCCCTCACCTCTCAGAGCTTTTGTAACCGAAGGTTACCTGAGGGGTTACCTTTCCTCATATGAACCTGTCCAGTTGCTGTTCACCTCTGCCCCAGTGGATAACCTCTTCCGCTCACCTAAGAGTTGTTTTCTGGCTTAGAGAATTAGCATTTGCAAGAGGAAAGTGACCCCCAAATTCAGCGCCGTTCTTCGGTTTGAACAATGTCTTTTAACATTGCCTTATAGTGTTTATTTGATACAGCATGTATCTTCCTCAATCATGCTTTTTATATTGTAATTTTATATTGTGAACTGCCCTGAGATCTATGAATGAATTAATGTAAATAATAATAATAATAATAATAATAATAATATTATAATATCAGCCTCTGTAATCCAGCTCTCAGTTCTACCAGTGTACGTGAGGCGGGTGGCACCAGAGGTTAACCCTCTTCTGCTGTTCCCCTCTATCTTGGGAATACCTTCTCCCCCGAAACATCTACTCATTCCATCTTTGGTTTAGGTGCCAGGTGAAAACGTTTTCTTTCATTTCCTTTTTGCTCAGGCTGTTTTATGCGCTTGAGGGTTTATGCTGGCACTCTGATCTTACTTTATTGCTCTGCGTTGTCTTGTTTTATTGTAAATCCGTCGACTTGTTTTTAAACTGTGACTTTTATTGTTTTGTCATGAGCTGCTCCAAGAACATTTGCTGAAGAGCATCCTGTAAATATTTCAAGTGAGCGAAACAGAGATGCAGAGGCAGGGGGAGAGAGGCAGCCAGAACCCCTGAAGGAAAATTGAATGTAGCAAGCCCAGCCAACCAAATCGATTAATAAGGCATTTCCAAAAGGCGAGAACAGGGGTGTTGTTGCAGAAAACAGGAACAGATTGCGCAAAATAGAGGCTGTTCCTGGTAAACAGTGACAGTTGGGAGCCTGTGTGACTCACACATGCCTGCCTTCCCCTTCCAGCATTGTGGAGAGGTGAATGTGTGTTTGAAGCCTCAGCACTGAACCAAGAGGTCTCCGTTGTCTGTTCCAGCATACAACAGATGTTTCTGGACATCTTTAGCCCAGAGTCCTTCTCAGTGCTGACTAGTTACTCCTAATGCTTTATGTCTGGCACTTACTGGTTCTTCCAAGGCACTCCAAGCCACAATAAAATGTTTGGGGTTTCTCTGTTGCTTTACGGCGGATCAACCTCAAACCGATGCCAACCAGTGGCTTTCCTGATCACTGCCAAGAGTTTCCCACTAGGCAGGAGGTTCTGTTCGTCCCATGGCCCATTAGCAAAGCTGTCCACAAACCTTCCTTTCCAGAGTCTCTTCAGCCAAGCTGAGTTAAGCATTTCCCAAGGAAGAGTATGTTTTGTGATGCTGATTTATTTCTGATCTTGGGAGAGCTACATCAAAAGTTACCGTGGCCTGGAAACTCTCTTGAAATTCTGAGTGTCTGTTCTGACCATCAGACAGCAAAGGACGAGTCATGAGAGAGTTTCCCCATGTGAGTAGAGTTGCCTGCTCACTGTGTAACCGCATTGTACTCATCTAGGGTGTCCATGAGTCAAGGCCAGATTACTGTGGGTGTTGTTCCCAAAATAGGGCCCCACTTGTTCCCAAAAGGAACACACAAAATAAAGTACAGTGGTACCTCAGGTTAAGTACTTAATTCGTTCCGGAGGTCCGTTCTTGACCTGAAACTGTTCTTGACCTGAAGCATCACTTTAGCTAATGTGGCCTCCTGCTGCCGCCGCGCTCCCAGACCACGATTTCTGTTCTCATCCTGAAGCAAAGTTCTTAACCTGAAGGTACTATTTCTGGGTTAGCGGAGTCTGTAACCTGAAGCGTATGTAACCTGAAGCGTATGTAACCTGAGATACCACTGTACCACAAAGTAAGTCATACAGTATCTTAGCAAATTTATTATGGCATAATTGTTTGTGGGCTGGAGACAATACTAGGGATGGGGGCAGCACCCACCCAACCCATGGCCTCAATTCCAGGGGTCCTGATCAGGTTGTCCTGCCTTGGGCCAACCTAGGGATCACTCACTGTGTCCTGGATCCAATCCCAAAGGAGTCTCTTAAATATACAGCTGGGAAGGGGGTCAATTCTACACCACCCAGAAAGGAGAGTTGGGCACTGGCTCCTACCTTCTTTTGGAAGATGAAGCCAGAGGTCAGGGTAGGTCTCGATTTAAAAGTGCTTATATTGATGTTTAGAGTCCTATACAACTCAGGACTGCATTACGTCAAAGACTGCCTTTCTGCATATAAACCAACCCTTGTGATCTTCATCAGATGTCCTTCTCTGTGTGTTCCACCTGAGGGAGTGTGAAGGAAATGGGCCTTTTCAGTGGTGGCCCCCTCATCTGTAGAAGGCTCTCCCACGGGAGACATGCCTGGTGCCATCCTTGTCCATCTTTAGGGGCCTGGCTAAATAATGCTGTCTTTTACAGTGATTCTCACCTCTTGGTGGAGTGGGCCACACTTGTTCATATTAATAAGCTGCTGTATGAGCATTTTATATGTTCTATATTGTTCGTTGCTCTGATTCCCCACCCAGCCACCGGCTTTAAATAGCTTTTTATGTGTTGCATTTTACCTTGTCAAGTTGCTTTGAGAATTTTTACTGTATAAAGCGACTGATAAATGCAGGTAGCAATAAATGATGACAATACTATTTGCATGCCTGGGTGGGGGATGAAGAAGGATGCATCACTGTGACGAAGCTAGCCTACTGCACAAAAGATAACATTCATAATCATTCTTCTTCCAGTTTTTGCCACACGAATGCCATCTGGCCCTTGGAAGGCAGTCCAGAAGGCAATGTGGCCCTCGGGCTAAAAACAGGTTCTGCCTCCCTGCAGTAGCTCTAACCGGGTGGCTGTGTGGGTGTCGAACAGGACTGCCCATCTCTCACTGTCTCTTTCTTGCCTTTGGGCAGTTTGCCAGCAGGTGGAATGGACCAGTCATGAATGGTGATGCCTTTAGTCAAGATCCGCCCTCCCAGCTTCCCGACTGGAGGGAATTCTGTGAGCTGCACGCCCAGGCCGCTGCAGTGGACTTTGCCCAAAAGTTCTGCCAGTTCCTGAAGGAGAATCCGCACTACGACACCCCCGGGGCAGAGAGCTCCTTCTCCCACCACTTTGCCGCCAACTTCTTGGACATCTTCAGCTTGGAAGTCAACAGGGTGTTCGTTTCCAATTCCCCCACCAAATACAACATCGTGCCATTTGTCGGGCTTCAGAACTGCCACATGCCTTACGGGCAGGACCTCCTGCCGAGGAAGGAGCAGGCCTCCACGGAGTCCCTCGACAGCATGGACAACCCCGTCTCCTCCGGCAGGTATCTGAGCCAATCACAGCAGGTCCAGGCCCGGAAGGTCTCCTCCTACGGCCAATCCCGGAGTTCGGAGGATGTCTCCGTCCACGCCACCTCCAAGCCGAAGTTCAAGAAAGGCTTTTCCCTGAGGAATATGAGCTTGTGCGTGGTGGATGGCATGAAGGAGATGTGGCACAGGAGGTCTTCCCCAGAGCCCGGTGCAGAAGCCACGCAAAGCAGGCGGTCCGACAGGGAACACTGCCCTCCCGGGAACAAGGAGCATGGCGATTCCAGGGAGAAATGGACCCACAAGCTGCGCCTTTCGAAGGGGCAGTCTTCCAAGGTAGATCTGGTGGACATTCAGAGGGAAGGGACCCTCCGCTACATGGTCGCTGATGATACGAACTGTGTGGGGAGTTCTCAGTGGCAAAAGTGTCGGTTGCTGCTAAGGAAAGCTGTGAAGATGGAGGGAGAAAAGTTCCTTCTCGAGTTTTATGTTCCTCCCAAGGTAAGGACTTCCGTAGCTAAAACCTGCCTTTCACATGTATGTGTTGGGTTTGTTTGCTTTTATTTCAATGGGGTGAGCGTCAGATTGCAGGTGCAGAGAAGCCAACTAAGCAAAGGACAGAGATCGGGAAGCGGAAGCCGAATGCTTCTCTGCCCTCAAAGTGAAATTTCACCCTAAGAAGGGTGAAAGGAATCATCATTCTCTAGTCCACTTCCAGTGAAATGGCTTGTATTAGAGTCTTCTTCTTTGGCGATCACTCATAGTCGAGTAAGATTGACTTCCATGAACATGATCTTAACAGTGAGTCCGTAAGTGACTGCGGTGGCCAATTCTGGATCCACACGCCCTTCCACAGTGGGGACGTAGGTTTCTGGGCGGGAGTTGATCACAGTGAGGGTTTGCCAAGCATGCCTTCCTCTTAGCACGTTTCTCCCTTTCGTCCTGAGTTTGAGCATTTTCAAAGTCCATGACACCTTTGGTAAAGGCAGTTTTCCACTTGGAGCGCTCACAGGCCAGTGTTTCCCAATTGTCAGTGTTTATACTACATTTTTAAAGATTTGCCTTGAGAGAGTTTTTAAACCTCTTTTGTTAACCACCAGCATTACGCTTTCCATTTTTAAGTTTGGAATAGAGTAGTTGCTTTGGAAGACAATAATTAGGCATCCAAACAACGTGACCAGTCCAACAAAGTTGATGTCAAAGAATCATTACTTCAACATTGGTGATCTTTGTTTCTTCCAGTACACTGAAATTAGATCACCTGTCTTCCCAAGGGATGTGTGAAAATTTTCAAAGACACCATTGATAGAATCTTTCAAAGAGTTGGAGATGGCACTTATAAGTGATCCATGTTTCACAACATATACAGTAAGGTTACTTGGGTGCCAATTTTAAATAGTAGTTCTTACAATGACCAGCTGGCATAGAAACAGCTCGGGGACAGGAGGTGCCTGATAGAGCTGGCTTATCAGCTGAGCTCATGGAACAGGCCCCACAGCCCGATGGAATGACTGGCTGCTGCCAGGTACCAGTTGCAACTGACCATGATGGCAGAGCATAGCCATTGCGGCTAGCAGGCAGTCTTCTCCTCCATGAATTTCTCCAATCCAAAGCCATCCAGGTTGGTGGCCATCACGGCCTGCTGTGGGACTGGTTTCCATAATTTAACTAAGCGCTGCATAGTTTTGTATTATCCACATTGTATTGTTTTGCTGATGCCACTCTGGGCTCCTTTTGGGAGGAAGGATGGAACGGAACCCTAATGAAATCGATAAATAAGACATAATCCTGTATACTGAGTCAGGCCCGTGGCCAGTGTTTTTGGCTCAGAAGGCCGTGGTTCTGCAAGGTCCCAGGCCAAAGTCTCTTCCAGTCCTGGAGATCCTTTTACTGGAGTATTGAGCCAGTTTGCTCCCTTGAGTACCTGGGGGCCCATTTCCTTCCTAAAAGGCTGCATGTAAAAGCAAAAGGAATTACTGCCAAGCCAGGCTGGTGCTTTGTCTTTTGTTGAATCCTTTCCTGTCTTATTTTTTCCACATCTTGTGTGTGTGTGTGTGCGCGCGCACGCTTTATTATCCTTAATCGATTGTCTCTCTTTAAATGTCTGGGAAGCGGCAGTAGATAAGAAGCTTGTTAATGCCTCCCCCCCCCCCCGCCCTTTGTAGCTTGTTTCCAGGTGTCATTTTCTCTCACAATTGCTCTGTTATAAATGCCTAAAAGTTTCCCCTTCCGCCTACACAACAACCTGGTGCCTTCCAGTTTTGGACTACAACTCCCATGAGTCTCAGTCAGCACAGTCATGCTAAGTGACTTGTGAAAGGGGGTCCAGTTTCTTGTAGTGCTACAAGCTAAGCAGGTCTGGATCTAGTCTGGCACCCCCTAGAATGGCACCCATGGGCACCATGGTGCGTAAGGATGCCTTCTTTGGGTGTCCCCAGGCAGGAGGCCTTGGACCCTGCGGAAATTTTGTTTGGCCACTCCCTCTGGCTTCTGTGGTTTCAGTGGGCATCTGTTGCCCACAGGTTCAAGTATATATTTTTAGCCAGAGAAGCCGAGCTGCCCAGGGAATTCCAGTGTGGCCTTAAACATGTGGGAGGCAAATCCGAGCAATGATAAATATAACAGAAACAATAGGGGCTAGCAGCTTGCTTTTTTTTTTTAAAAAAAAGGAAAATACAAGTTAGGATTTTCAGGGGAGCTGAATTCTATTATCATTGGGGAAGGGTTACAGCTCAGTAATGGAGCAATGATTTGCATGCATAAAGGACCCAAGTTCAGTCCCCGATGGCATCTCCCAAGTGGGGAGAGCTGCTGTGTGAGAGATCCCTGTGTGGAAACTCTTTGGAGCAGACCAGGGCTGTGCAATGCAGAGCTAGACAGACCCTTGATCTAATTCTGTATAAGGAAGCTTCCTATGTCCCTATAGCCTTCCGGTGTCTTTCCACACACCCTGCAGTTTCTCTTGGTATCGAGAAACCGCTCTGTGACCGCAGCGGCTTATTTGCTGCTGATTTGTGGAGCGTGTTTCCTTTTTGGCCATTCTCTGGATTTCTTGCTAGACCAGCTGTTGTGACAGCTGGGTGTGAAACAGGCAGCAGCCGCACGCGGTTTCATGCCTGCAGCCTGTGTGCCTGCTCCGGGTTCAAGCATAGCCTTGCACGAAACCTTCCCTCGCTCATCACGGCGTCTCTGTAAATTGAGCCGAAGGGAATTTGTCACTCTGCAGGGGGGACCGGACAAGGGCGCATGGAAAATCCCATTTCGGTGAAACCCTTTTATGGTGCCTGCTCTCTGGCTGTTGCCAAACAAGCAAGAGATCTTGTTTCCATTCATTCCCTTCTAACCTTTCTCCCATCCCCAAGGAGGAGGTTGTGGACAGGTTGCTTAAAGCAGCTCTCTGGGCCAGTGCTTAATTTATCCCTAGGAAAAGAGAAGTGTGGACTGAAGCCCCCTCCCCTCTTTCACACACCCCTCCTCACACACAAACTTTGCTAAACTGGGAGCCCTTCTCCCTAAAAACTCTGTTACTTTTGTTTTCCTACTACTTTGATGCTTATGCTGAGACCCTACCTACCCACCAGGGTGGTGCATGCTCTAGTTATCTCCTGCTTGGACTACTGTAATGCACTCTATGTGGGGCTACCTTTGAAGGTGACCCGGAAACTACAACTAATGCAGAAGGCGGCAGCTAGACTGGTGACTGGTAGTGGCCGTTGAGACCACATAACACTGGTCCTGAAAGACCTACATTGGCTCCCAGTACGTTTCTGAGCACATTTCAAAGTGTTGGTGCTGACCTTTAAAGCCCTAAATGGCTTTGGCCCAGTATACCTGAAGGAGCATCTCCCCCCCCACCCCCCATCATTCAGGTAGAGCTCCAAGGGCCTTCTGGAAGTTCCCTCACTGCGAGAAGTAAGGTTACAGGGAACCAGGCAGAGGGCCTTCTTGGTAGTGGCTCCTGGCCTGTGGAACGCCCTCCCATCAGATGTCAAGGAAATAAACCATTAGCTGACTTTTAGAAGACCTCTGAAGGCAACCCTGTTTAGGGGAGTTTTTAATGCTTGATGTTTTATCATGTTTTTAATACTCTGTTGGGAGCCGCCCAGAGTGGCTGGGGAAACCCAGCCAGATGGGCGGGGTATAAATAATAGATGATGATGATGATGATGATGATGATGGTGGTGGTGATGATGCTACACTCAAGCAGTTCACAAGAAAGCATGGGGGTGGGAAACAACCGAAAGTATAAATACATCGAGCAAAGTGTTTTATACTCGGGGCTTCCACTTCTCCTTGCGGTCCTTGTCGACTCTGCCTAACCCTAACCAACCTCTCCACCCGCCACTGCGTCCTGGCTTCTTGCAGATCTAGGATTGCGATGCAGCTCCTATGGAGACTGTGCGATGATAGCCTTACACTTCTATGTACGTATATAGAAAGGCAGTATGTTTTTATCTTCATATAAAAGACATTTCAAAACAGTTTCACAATATTTTCATACTCAATGAGTGATTTCCTCTGACCTAGCAGGTGAAGATGTACAGTCATACCTCGGGTTGAAGTAGCTTCGGGATGAATATTTTCAGGTTGCGCTCCGCGGCGACCTGGAAGTAACCGAGTGCGTTACTTCCAGGTTTCACCGCATGCAGACGCTCAAAATGACGTCATGCGCGGAAGCGGCGAAACGCGGCACACGCAGTCACATCTTAAGTTCACTTCAGGATGCGAACAGGGCTCCGGAATGGATCCTGTTCGCATTCAGAGGTACCACTGTAGTGGATTGTTCAGTGGCATCGGTGTAGAACATTTTTCTGTTCTAGGTGGCAAGTGGTAAAAGCTTTCCTCTGGCGACTTGGTCAAAGTGTCACATGGGGGCTCTTGTTGTTTGCCGATGAGGAGATTGGTGTGCACCTGATTAAGAGGAATCACAGAATCCCAAAATTGTAGCGTTGGAAGATATCTATTTCATATTGTCCAGGGTTCTAGGTTTTCTATTTCCCGGCTGCTGTTGCACATAAATTGACTGTGAACCAGTTTGGCCAGGGGAGATGCAAAATGTCCTGGCATTACAACACGGGTAAGTTCTACTTGACATTGCAAAGAGAAAAGGAGTGACATGTCTGGAGAGCCAGTGTGGTGTAGTGGTTAAGAGCGGTAGTCTCGTAATCTGGGGAACCGGGTTCGCGTCTCCGCTTCTTCACATGCAGCTGCTGGTTGACCTTGGGCTAGTCACACTTCTCTGAAGTCTCTCAGCCCCACTCACCTCACAGAGTGTTTGTTGTGGGGGAGGAAGGGAAAGGAGATTGTTAGCCACTTTGAGACTCCTTAAAGGGAGTGAAAGGCGGGTTATCAAATCCAAACTCTGCTTTCGGTAGCAGCGCTGCATTTCTTGTGGTCACCCACTGAACATTGCTGGATAGGCAGTTTATACATGCTCAGAGACATTGCTCTCTTCAGCTAGCAGGTGCTATAAAAGAAATTAAAGATAGTACTCCTGTTGGGCATTTGGAAATAGAATATACAAAACAAAACAAAAACCACCAACCCACTCATATTTCATTTATGTTACCATGGAGGATACGATTTCAGGGCTGAAAAGGTGAGTCCTGGATGTGGACTCTGTTTTATTATTATTATTATTATTATTATTTATTTATTTATTTATTTATTTATTTATTTATTGTCACACTCCATTATATTATCACTGTCCATCATCAACAACAGAGTTCAGAATAAAAAATACATTAAAAACCAACAAAAAAAAAACCAACAGAGCTCAGTTTTCTATGAATACAATTTACTGGGTATAAGCCCTATCAAATGAATGGGATTGGAGAAAAATAGCTGCCTGCAGCAGATCACTCTTTCTGATCAGACTACTCAGGAGAACACCTTTTTGGCGGGTGAAGTCCATCTTAGCTTACCTGTACCGGCCTGCCCCCCCCCCTCTGTGTGTGTGTGTGTGTGTGTGTGTGTGTGTGTGTGTGTGTGTAAAAAGCCTTTTATATTTCCTCTTACAATCTTTTGCCCTTCCTTAGCTCTTTGTGGCTGCTTTTACCTTTTTTTATTAATGGGAGTTTTTCAATAGTTAAATTCTGTTTATCTGTTCAAGGACTTTAAAAAAAAGGAAGAAGTTTAGAAATGTAAAATTATTGCTGATGTTGGAACACAGCAGTGTGTGAAAATATGTAAATGAAATGTTCCCTATTCCTCCTCCTATTTCCCAGTGGGTGCTGTACTTTTAATTAAAAGATTCTGGCGTCGCTTGAGAAGATTAGGGAAATCGCATTTTTAATAACGTTGCCTTCATGTGAACAGCCTTCCTTCCTCTGCTATCTCCTGAGGAAAACTACTATTTCTAAAACAATTGTCATATACAGTGGTACCTCAGGTTAAGTACCGTATTTTTCGCCCTATAGGGCGCACTGGCCCATAGGGCGCACCTCGTTTTTTGGGAGGGGAAATGAATAAAAAAAATTATTTCCCCCCCAGCCCCCAGAACAGGCTGCTATCCGCAAGCCTTGCGAGCCCGGCGGCAACTCCCGCCGGGCTCGCAAGGCTTGCGGATAGCTTCCTGAAGCCTGGAGAGTGAGAGGGGTCGGTGCGCACCGACCCCTCTTGCTCTCCAGGCTTCAGTGAAAGCCTGCATTCGCCCCATAGGACGCACACACATTTCCCCTTCATTTTTGGAGGGGTGAAAGTGCGTCCTATAGGGCGTAAAATACAGTACTTAATTCGTTCCGGAGGTCCTTACTTAACCTGAAACTGTTCTTAACCTGAAGCACCACTTTAGCTAATGGGGCCTCCTGCTGCCGCTGTGCCGCTTATCCTGAAGCAAAGTTCTTAACCTGAAGCACTATTTCTAGGTTAGCGGAGTGTGTAACCTGAAGTGTATGTAACCTGAAGCGTATGTAACCCGAGGTACCACTGTACTTTTTTTTTTTTTTAACTCCCTCTCTCTTTTGGCCTCCAGGCTTCCAAAGCGAAGGTCAGCATCCCTCTTTCGGCCATTATCGAGGTGCGCACGACTATGCCCTTGGAGATGCCGGACAAAGACAACACCTTTGTGCTGAAGGTAAGGCACCTTAGGTAGAAAAGCCCACTGTGTAGCCACGTGTTTGCCACATCAGCCACTGGTGCCTACTTTCTTTATTTGCAGTCAGCAGTCCATTAAACTAAGGTTACCAGATTTTTCTCAATGAATCCGGGGGCACTTTTCAACTTCAATGGATTTTGTATGGGGACTGATTTGCAAATCCAAGGACTGTCCCCGGGAAACGGGGACGTCTGGTAACCTTACATTAAACATGATTCAAACCCAGATCTCCAAGTCTGTCTCACACTTCTCTTCCATTTTTGAAAGCCTGTTGCAAAAGGGAGAGGCAGATGCACTATTTCAAAGCGTTGTCCTGTTTTCGCCCTCCTACTTCCTTGTGTGATGAGCACTCTTTTTTTTTTACCCTTTCATTAAAATTGCACCGCCTGCCTCCCTGTAAGCGCTGGGCTCCCTTTTTTGAAGAGCCAACTCAGGGATGAAACGATGCCCTACTGGCAGGCCGGGTTGTCATGGAGACCGGCCTAGCTGCTGCATGAGCAGTTCCTTGGCAAATCGAACTTATGCAAACTTCCATCCAAGCTCTCTGTCAGGGTGGACAAAAGGCACTTTTGTGATGAACGAAAACGTCGACATTTGCTTTGTGTTTGCACAATTGGATTTGGGGGAATGGATTTCGTTTGTTTCTGGGTTTTGGAGGTCCCCCCCCATCCAAATTAATTTTCCAGCTTCCTGAATTTATAGAGACCATTCATGGGATGAGGATAGGATGTAGAGAGACCTGGAGATGAGAGATGAGGTGGGGCATCTTACCGGCTAAATTTACTTTTCTCTCTCCCTGCCCCAGTCCAGCAACAATCATTGGTGAATTATTGCCTTTGCATCAGTTGAAATTCAAAGCCAAAACGAGACATGATGTGGGTTGGCCTTTGCATTGTTATTCTTTTTAACGGTTTATAAAAAGATTTATATACCACGAAATGGACAAAAACCTCAAAGCAGTTTACAGAGAACAATATAAAATATTCATTAAAAATACCAGTAAACACCTTTAATTCCCTTAACACAGCATTCCTGTTTTAAAGATTCTGATAAATGTGCACAACTTAGGGGCTGGGAATCCAAGGGTATTTTTAGACCATCGAGCGCACCCCTGCTTTTAGAAAAACCGGAGGATGTGACACCTAGTTCAAATTCACTTGTCTACTAGACATAGTTCATACAGGGGATTCACTGAAATAGTTGGCATTCTTTGAAAACTTACATATTTCTGGGGGAAATCTCAAGGGTGGAATAGTATCATTTATAAAGGTTTGCGGTCATGTTTCATGAAATCTAATTTGAGTTTAAAAGCTTTTTGGGAAGATGACTTGGGACTATCAGTGATAAGACTTTGCAAAGTGGTATGGCAGAAACCCCTATTAAGGTTATTTTTTCAGAGTTAAGGGATCTATGATAAAAGTGGTGCTGAGGTGCTATTTTACTCACGTGAAATAGGTTCACATGGACCCAGGGTCTTCCAACAAGTGTTGTAGAGGTCATCTACGGTTGGGTACTTCCTTTCACATGTGGTGGACTTGCTCCATGGTACACTCTTTTTGGATGAGGGTTTTGCCCCCCCCTCTTCTGTTGCCTCTCAGGTTATTCCTTAGAACTGCAGTCTCAACTCTGTTTTCTGTTTTTCCTGAGGACATGAATCAAGTAATTTTGTTGCTTTTAGCAGCAGCCAAAATAGAAATTGCTCATCATTGGAACCACTCCTCTATTTTTACATTAGAAGGTTGTTGGTAGTGTAAAGTTTGGAAATTGGCTGTGCGAGATAAATTGACACAAAAGAACAAGCTTAGCCGGAGCAAAACAAACAAAAAAAAGGATAAATTTGAGGAAACTCGGTCTCTTTTAACCTTTCTAACCCAACCTGTACTAGCCATCCACTAAATGACCATCTTCCTTTGGGGGTCAGACCATATTTCCAGATATTAAGATTTTATTATCTTCATAAATCTCATCCTACCACTGTATTTTCTTGTCTAGTGGGTTTTTTCTTTCCGTTTTGCTTTTGCTGTCAGATATGATCCCTATGTTTGAACATACTGTGCTTAAAATATCTATTGTCTCTTCCCTTGTTTATTTCTTTTTATGGTTAGTATTATGTTAATGTTGAAAATTAATTTAAAAATGCATTAAAAAAACCAGTAACACCAAACCTTACACACACACACACACACACACACACACGTACCTTGGTTGTTGGACCTAATCCATTCCAGGAGTCCATTCGACTCCTGGAACCGTTTGAAAATTAAGGCGCAGCTTCTGATTGGGTGCAGGAGCTTCCTGCACCCAATCAGAAGCCGTGTCGAAAAACATTTGTAAACTGGAACACTCACTTCCGGGTTTGCGGCATTTGGGAGCCAATTTGTTCGGGAGCCAAGCTGTTTGACAACCAAGGTACCACTGTACTGTATATACAAAGAAGATTGTCAAAATATGGGCAAAACCAGCAGTTTTTTTTACAAAACTAAGGGGGGCCCTTCTGCTCACTTGCCATCCCTGCTCTCTCTGCCTCAGTTTCCCTCTCTCTGCTTCAACTGGGAGAGCTGGAGATTCAAGACTGCCTGAGTAACTTGTCTCCACATCACCAAACCCTTCCATTTTACCCCAGGTTCATCTCTAGCTATCCACCTGTACCCCCTTCTAAGATGGCAGGGAGCTGTCTCTGTCCTCCCCCTGCTTTGCAGTGTAGGACATGCTAAGGGTCCCATTAATCCGTAAAATGCCTCTCTATACAATGCTCCCATGTTCCTCTCGCTCCTCCAGTTTCCTCTCGCACCGTTCTTTTGTGCGTATGTGGGGAAGCCATTTATCGCCGCACCTTCTAGGCTAGGATGGAGGAAGTTGGGGAGCCAAACCAAGTTTGCCTCACCACACCTTAAACCCCCTAGGCAGACCCCGACCCCTTCCCTCTCCTACCCAGGTTTCGACCTTTCATTTGGGGGAGGGAACTTCGTCCCTTCCCTCACCCCACATGTATTTCTCTTTGGGGGCTTGTTGCTCCCCTCAAAGCAAAGCCTCCCCTCTGGGCCACACACCCGAACATCTGCCTTTCTCTTAGCCGTATAGTAGAGAGATAAATGCACACAATGAAATTGTGTGTTAGAATTGCATGAGGCAGACATGTACCTTCAATAATAAGGGACATGTGAGACTCCAGGTGCTAGCTGCTGGGACAAACGCACTCTTTTCTTGATCCGAGGAATCATTTTATTCCTTCACACTTTTCTAAGGGTGAATCCTGGATCCCGTTGAGTCTTTGCACATGTGTGTGGGAATGTGGAGAGATGAAGGATGTCTTTTTGTTTTAAGATACCACAAAGAATGGCTCCCCCCCCCCTTGTATTTTTTTCATCCAGGTAGAAAACGGTGCTGAGTATATCTTGGAAACGATTGATTCGTTGCAGAAACACTCCTGGGTGGCAGATATACAAGACTGCATAGATCCTGGGTAAGATGGCAGGGGGCGCTGAGATTGGGTTTGCTGAATGAGTGCCCTTGAAGTTCAGAAAAGCTTGTGTAAATGGCGATAGGTATATGGCAGTATGGTGCTCATACTGCTCCACAGGGATTTTATTCAGAATATTTTTCAAGATCCTGATTTTCATTAGCCTCCAAATGGTACCCCCTAATTAGTGGTAAACATATAGGCATTTTTTCAGTTTTAAGTATTTTATTCAATGTTTAATCTTCCATACATATCAACACACAAAAAAGACAGATTAAACAAAAAAAATCTGCAATTCTCATCCTCCTCCTCAGAACATTGAGAACCAGTAACACTTAGAAATACTCAGTAAAACCTACAATAATCCACATATTTCTTCCATCTTAACATGCAAATATTTTGTCTATAACTGTATTCCTTAAACCTTATATAATAAGCTAACTTTGCCATTATTGTATAGCCGCACATTTTATTGTGCCATTCTTTGACCATTGGGACTGTTGCCATTCTCCATTTGCCAGCATATAAAATGTTGGCAACTGCTAACAGATTGAGAGATCATTTCCTTATGTACTTTCCATATTGATCCTTCTACATAATTCAGTAGAAATGTTACCGGATGAAGAGGAACCACATCACCTAGGCCCTTCATTCCAGCTAGGGCCCTTCTTGAAGCCATGGAGGCTTCTGCTGGAGTCTCCACTCACCTGAGACAGAAGGAGAGATGTTAGCAATATGGGATTTGTTTATGGTACATGGTCTGGTCTGTCTAAAACAGCTGTTCTTTCATTTGAGAGATCAGTGAATCCAGAACACTGACACTTAAAAAAAATATATGTATGCATATACTTGCAGAGAGTCACTTGTCAGGGAACTGACATCGGAGACACGGGAGAAGGAGAGGGTCTCCAACTCTGCAGGTGAAGGTCCTAGCACAAGGGGGAGACTCAGCTTGGTGGAAGGGGAAGGAAATACACGTAACACCCAGAGTCCAGGAGACTCCCGCGCAAGGAGAGGCGGAGATGATTAGGCGTCAAACAGCTTTTATGCTGGCAGAGGTTTAAGAAACGCCCACAGACAGATTCTGCCAGTGACTAAGGCAGCCACGCGGAGATGGGCTGTGCAGTCCGAAGGGTTTAACCAGGCAACCAAGCGCCCAAACGGGGTCGGCTTACGCACGAGAAACTCCATACCACTACATCACTGGTGCAATATCTTGTATCCAACTGCTTGCTCGTTTCTTCCAGAGACAGTGGGGACGACATCGAACTCTCCTCCTGCACCCAGGGGGCCTGCCTGCCAAGCAGAGTGTCTTCTTGTAGCTGCGAGTTCCTGGCTGGTGGTAACAAGACTTTTAAATCAGATTTTAAAATCAGATTTATTTACACAGTGTGTACACTGTGGCCCCAATAACCCATGCATACTACAAAAAAGAGGCTTTTCTGTGATTGGAGAAGTACATTTGGGTGTGTGTTACAAGTTACAAGTTCAAGTTTGTAAGTTTATTGTCCTGGCCAAAGGCCATGACAAACTTGCAGCAATAGTATTAATAAAATAGTACAGAACATCCATAATATAGGAGAGAAGATACCAGAAACACAAACAAGCCTAAATCTTACTTGATTTTGGATTAAACCTCCAAATCACCAAAACAACTTACAGCAATTTTATTTAACTCCCTTTTCCTGGTAGTTTGATAGAGTCTATGTTGCTTGGGGTACACACGCCCATTTTTTATGTCCTGCTATAATCCCGCTCAAACAGATATCTTAGGATTTAATGAAACTTTACTTACTCCCTCCCTCCCCCCCAAAAAAAAATCAATAAACGCAGAATGTATACCCATTGGTGACATGATAACACTTGTAACTAAGAATCTGAGCTTGAGCTTGATGTTTTCCTGCTCCCTCCCACTTCCTTTTACCTTTTGTATTGTGTCTCTTACAATGTGAAGCTGAAGGCAGGGACTATATTATCAATGATATTTGTAAGTTGCTCTGGGAACCTTTTCTGGCTGAAGAGTGGGATAAAAATGCTAATGACAACATGCGAATTGGAATCATAGCATATAGAATTGGGATACACCCCAAAGGTCATCTGGTCCAATGCAGGAATTACTTTGCAGAAAAAGAGAGAAGCTGTTTGAAGCCTTGAGAATGGATTTTGGGGGGGTTTTTAACAGCGGAATTCTTTTTCCAGATACCTCCCGGTTTCAGGACAGATGTGCAGGCTCTGCTGCCCCAGACACTATGCCAAATCCTGCCACTGTTGTCACAGCACCTCATGGTCGGATCAGGGACTCTGCAGGAGAATACAGAGCTCATGTGCCATTGGATAACTTCCTACAGACATTGGAGTCATCAGCTACTGGTAGCCATACTGCAGGTAGCGTGTTTCCTGGAAGAAATGTGATCAGCTCTCCCCTGCTCCCCATAAGACTTTTTTCCCTGTTATTTGGAATTGTGTACTTTGTAATCTGTTGGCCCACTGTTGTTACAGGTGGTTCAGTTTTGCTAATTTTCCAGACAGAGTGCTAACTTCATTTCTGGAGCTCTCCCTCCTGGGACAGCCCTCAGCTATGGCAAGTTTGGTGTGGCTTCCAATTTGGTTGAACAGGGGAGGTCTAGTGGGGCAGCTGAGTGAGGCAGGTCTTTAATACTGGGCTGGACAAATGAACAGTCTGACCTGGTATCAGGCAGCTTGCTATGTCAAATCAAAGTTCTGTGTATGTGTGTGTGCTGTGCCCAGATCAGTTACACAAGGTTTGCAGTTAAACGGAATAGCATGCATCCTTCCAACAGTTCAGATGGTTTGCTGGTGTGGGTGGGTGCGGGTGTTTGTGTGCTGGCCATTGTTTCTAATTATTTATATTCCACACATGCCAATTTTCAGAACTGAAGGTAATCGCAAAGCAAGATCACATGGTTCTGATTCATAGGTTACATTTTTTTTAAGCATTCACCTAAAAATGTGATCTGTGAATTTGGCAAAACACATCTGCCATACAAATACAACTTTCCTCACTGGCGAGCCTGCATTGTGAAAGGACACCCTCCTGCAGATGTTTTAGGGTGGTCACATTGCTTCATTTCCAATCAATGCATATCCTATATAAGTTCCTAATGAAATCCCTTAACTTTTTATAGCTCAAAGGTTCTGGTTTTAGTTTAGTTAGGCTATAGCCCCTCCAAACAGCAAGAATGTGTTAGCATTCGGGAAGTACTGCAAAACAAACTACGAGCAGAATAAATCCACCACTGGTGCCTTGCTACTATGTCAAGAACATGCTGCAGAATACACCTTCAATGAATAACCCACCTGCAGAATCTCACTTCCTTGCAGTAGGATTTGGAGCATAATATTCCAGCATTTGACTTCCTCCTCCTTCTTCTCTCAACTGGGACAGGGGAGGAAAGCGAGACGGAAGCGGAGCTCAACCTTCTGGACTTCCCTTGGTTCCATGGGACGCTATCACGGGTCAAAGCTGCTCAGCTGGTCCTGTTTGGTGGAGCCAGAAGCCATGGGCTGTTTGTCATTCGACAGAGTGAAACACGGCCAGGCGAATACGTGCTGACCTTTAACTTCCAGGGGAAAGCCAAGGCAGGTGACCGTTATTCATGAATGGATGGATCTTTATAACAAAATTTATAAAAATATACTCTCAGCTGTGGCCCTTCTTCCATGGGAGGTCTGGAGGTTGGCAACATGAGAAGAGACTTTCTATGGCAGCTCCCTCCTTGTGGAATTCTCTCCCCAGGAAGGCTCACCTGACACCATCATTGCATAGCTTTAGGTACCAGCCAATAACATGCATTTCCCACCAGGCATGAGTGTTTTTGGCTTTTAATCATCTGGATTGTCTTGTAGATTTTAACACAGTTATAATATATGCATTTTTAAATACCGTATTTTTTGCTCTATAAGACTCACTTTTTCCCTCCTAAAAAGTAAGGGGAAATGTGTGTGCGTCTTATGGAGCGAATGCAGGCTGCGCGGCTATCACAGAAGCTAGAACAGCAAGAGGGATTGCTGCTTTCACTGCGCAGCGATCCCTCTTACTGTTCTGGCTTCTGGGATTCAGATTTTTTTTCTTCTTGTTTTCCTCCTCCAAAAACTAGGTGCGTCTTGTGGTCTGGTGCGTCTTATAGAGCGAAAAATACGGTATATTCTAAGTCACTTTGAGTTACCTTGGTAGAAAAGTGATCAGTACATTTAATAAATAAAGCAAAAGTGCTGCTTGATTGTATGCAAAACCTCTAAGCAGTTTACAGACATAAAAATAAAACAAACATTAAAATTGTCAACAAAAGACAAGAGTTAAAATCAGTAATTATTATTATTATTTGAAATAGAATTAAAATTGGCAATAGCCCAAAGCAGACTAAAACACACCCGCATGTCGGGATAGGCTTGCCTGAACAAAAATGTTTTTAGCTGGCTCCGAAAAGAGAACAATGAAGGTGCCTGTCTGGGGTCTAGGGGGGGGGAATTCCGGAGCATAGATGCTGCCAAGCTTAAAGTTCCATTTTAGAAGTGCAGAATTAATATTATGTGGCACCTGAAATGGTGGGCATATAAGGGGCAAGGCAATCCTTTAAGGAAGTTGGTCTCAAGTTGTCAAGGGAACGTTTTTGTTTTATCCTGGAGCTACAGCAGTTGTGTTTCCCTGAGCTGTTAGCCTGCCTTGAGCATTTAAAGTTAAGATTTGATGACTTCTTGGTTCACAGGAACCTGCCTTTATACTGCTGACCCATCTAGCTCAGTATTGTCTACCCTGACTGGCAGCAGCTCTCCAGCTCCAGGCTGATCTGCATTGCCACTGAAGGGTTTTGGTTGCAAATATTGTTTCGGGGGGTTGAGAATAAACCTTCCAGTTGAAAGGAGTCACTGGCACTTGGCAACATGCCTGTACATAGGCATAAAATAGTAAAACAGCCAGAGGCTTAGAAACCACCAACCAAAACCACGATGACTACTTTGGCTTGTTAATAGCCTGGTGTCTGGCATGGAGAGCTTCATGAGTGCCAGGTAGAGGAAAGCAGCCAAAATCTAGAGACACGGCTGCCTTGCCTGCTCCCAATAACAGAGGGGGAGGCAGTGGGAATGCTGCAACGTGTCTTGCGGGCACAACAGCCCTTGATTCTTTGCCACTACTTGGGGTAGTTGAGTGAGGGATATGTGTTCATTTGCATGCATCAAGCAGATACAAAGCTGGCAGATCAATGGAAGCCCCGTGTTCTCCCATCCTGTTCTCTTGGCGCCACCTGAAATTTAGCTTACAGAAATTAAAATGAATCGTTAGTATGCTCACCCCACTTCTCTGAGCGGTGAGAAGTTCCAAGGCGGCAGTGATCCTCTCAGGCTTGCTCTATTTTGCATCGGCACCATCTTATTTCCGTTCCTGATGCTACACTTGAATGCGTCTGTGTTGTGTCAACCTTTCGAAAGCCGATTTAAGAACTTTGGGGGAAATATAAAATTGGGATATAAGTATTCTAAATCATTAAAGTTCCGGGCCCAGAGCTTTCTAGGAAATAACAGCTTTTTCTGAAAAAGGCACAAATAAGCAGATTAAAAAAGACATTGGAAACACAGATCAAAACACAACAATATGATGCAAGTGGTCTTTAAGTATCTGAACGGCTGCCACATAGAACAAGCTTGTTTTCTGCTGCTCCATTGATTAGGACCTGAACCCAATGGATTCAAATTGCAAGAAAGGAGATTCTGACTAAATACTAGGAAGAAGTATCTGATGGTAAGAGTTGTTAGACGGTGGAACAGACTGCCTTGGAAAGTGGCAGGCTCTCCTTCGTTGGAGGTTTTTAAACAGAGGTTGGATGGCCATCTGTCAGGATCCTTTAGCTATGATTCCTGCATTGCAAGGGGTTGGACTAGATGACCATTGGTCTCCCTTCCTACAATATTATTTTACGATTCTATGGCAGCTGGTTAAAAATCATTCATTCGCCTTCTAATCTCTTACAGCACCTGCGCCTGTCCTTGAATGAAAACGGCCAGTGCCACGTCCAACATCTCTGGTTCCAGACTATATTTGATATGCTGAGGCATTTTCACATGCACCCCATACCCCTGGAGTCAGGCGGTTCTTCTGATATAACACTCCGTAGCTATGTGGTGGCCCAGAGTCCCTTGCCAGGTAGGTTAAATCCCCATTCTTGCTGTCTCAACCCCAGCTGAGGCCTGCCTGAGCAGAGATTGAAAACCACAGAGAATTCGTCTGTGGTCAGCGGTCTTCGTGGGGTTAGTCTCATGCAACAAAAGCTAGAGTCTCGTGGCACCTAGAAGACTTTAACCAGTGTTGTTATGGCTTAAACCTTTGTGGGCCTACAGTTCACTTCATCAAATGTATGAAATATTATCCTGCCACACATGCAAACACACACTGTGCGTATCTGTGGAAGGCTGGATAACACTTTATCCCATCTGATGAAGTGAACTAGTCCTCAGTGTTTAAAAAACATTAATGACCCATAATCAAAATACAGTAGATGGCCCAATGTAGCAGAAAATATTATTTATATGTGACCACAGCTGTGTAGATGTTATCGGCCCAGAGATGGAAAGAAGATTAAGTCCCAACCAGAGAAGAATGGCAGATCAATTTGATGGATTATGCCAAAATGGCAAAATTGACTGGAAGAATCAGAAATCAGGGAGACCAAAATTTAATAAGAAATGGGGGGAATTTATAATTTATCTTAAAAATCATTGTAAACAGTTAAAATCATTAGTAGGATTGGAATAACACTTGTAGTTTAATGGTGAATTTTGGATATAATGGAGATGTAAAATATTTGGATTATTATAAAAGATGCAGGAGGAAATGACTAACAGTAGGAGCCACAAAGGGGAGGAGGGAAGTCTAGGAGATTCTTTGGAATCTTGTTTTTATTATGTATGTTGGATATGTGATTGTAAAACTTCAGTATGAAAAACCAGGGATCTGCACAGGTCAGGTCCACCGCTGTGTGGCTGCTGGTGTCTGTGACAACTTCCTTTTCCTGTTTCAGAGGTCAGCCCGTCCCCCGCTGTGGCTTCTCAACAGCCCACTTGCAGAAACGACCTGCAGTCGCAACACTACTTCTCCAGCTTTGTCCCTGTCACCTTCCAGCCAGCCTCCCCTTCTGAGGGCACCACTTCCTCTTCCTCCTCCTCGGCCAGCCACTCGCTGTACCATCGGATGGAGGGGACCCTGAGCGCCCGAAGCCGGAGCAACAGCACCGAGCGCCTGTTCGATTCTGCCGCCATTGGGGCAGAGGATTACCACGAAAGCGAGGGCTCACGCAACAGAACCAGAGCCGTGGAGAACCAATATTCATTCTACTGATCCTTCTGATGGGGAATGGTTGGTTTTCAGTGTGGCCTGGTGTCTCTCTTTTCCCTCCCTCCTGGGTGGGGAGATCTAATAAGCCTGTTGAGGTTTCTGCCTCTTTGCTGGTTTACTGCTTATCGTAACAGTTTTGGCATTCTCCTGGCCTCTGTGTGTGTGTTTCCATCTCTTTGGCCTACAAAGGGTTTCCTTCCCTGTCTTCTTCCCATACTATGAACTGAAGGTGGCCCTTCCTATTCCTGTCTGGGCCAGAAGGATGGCCAATGATAGCAAGCTCTTCAAGCTAAAGGACAGAGTGAAAAACACACACACCCTCCTGATGGTTGCCACCTGGATATCGGGGAGCATGATCCAGAAATAGGGATGCTCTTTCCTGCATCTCTATGGAGCCAGACCTCTTTACCTGTTATTTGTTCCCACCCTAATGGTCTCATTCAGATGGAAACAGGAAGTGTTTGTAAAACTTTAACTGCATTGGGACTGAGCCCCCTAGTAGCTAATTCATCACCAGGACCCAAGGGTTTTAGAGGGAAAGCTAACAAAGGAACTGTTTCTTGGATTGCTGCTGTCTTGTGTGGTGTGGGTTCTGTGGTCCTCTTCATCTTCACTGTAAATAGTTGGGCTCACGATAGTCTTCATCTCCTCCTCTTGAAGAACTCCACATTTGGTGCTGGAGTACAGTTGTGCGCAAAGGATGTATGGTGCTGCCTGACATTGATGCAAACCAGAGACAGAGGCTGCCCAAGGACAGGTACCAGTTGCTTTCTTTTGGTGTGGACTAGATGGACCCAGAAATCTGACTTCATAGGGGCTTCCACTCTGAGCAATCACTGTGGAGGAATGGCCACACTGTGTTCACCTACTTTTATGGTGTATCTGCATGATGACATGCTCCTCCCATGTCTTTTTTCCCTGTTCAGCTTCCATTTTTGTGTGCGCAGATAATCCAACTCTTAAAAGAAACCCCACAGAAAGCCCCACAATGGAACAGTTATCTAGTTTCCCCAGGAGCAGCTGGCCTATTGTGCTGCTATTTAGTAGCTTCCTTTGCTGGATATGGCCTGTATTGATTGCTGCAGACTTTTATTTCTCTATATAGTCCACCTCTCTTCTCTAGGAATCAACTCTGTTACTTGTACCTCTTCCCTTTCCAAACAGTGTTCATTTATTTCTGTTTCTTTTCTCTCCCTGCCCTGCTCCAAAAAAATAATTAAAAAATAGAGGAGGAATTGGGAGTGCAGTGAGGGTGGGGAAAGCAGTATTTAACCCCTTCCCCACAAAATGTTTAATTTTAAACTACCTTTCAGAGTACATTGCCCTCAAAAGATGGTATACAAAAAAAATCCATAACACAACATAACAATATATAAAAACAACAAGGTCTAAATCACTGTACACCCCTGTAAAAATGAGCACAGAAAATTGCTCAAAGCCCAACAATCGATCATATGCATATTGAAATTTTTATATATATATGCATCTTTAGAGCTCTCTCAAAAACCAACAAAGATAGGCTGGACTTATTTGTTAGGGAAAGGTTCCATAATAGCAGGGATAGCTCCGTTGGCAGAGCATGAGAATCTTAATCTCAAGGTTGTGGGTTTGAGCCCCATGTTGGGCCAAAGATTCCTGCTTTGCAGGGGGTGAACTAGATTACTACCATGGTCCCTTCCAACTCTTCAATTTTATGATTGTAAGAAGGACCTGAGTCTGAAAGCAGAGTTGTTGTTCCAATTCCAGGCAGAAGAGCAAAGATTTGGTGCTGCTAAATTGTCCATGTCTAGAAGCACTCCCATCAGGCAGTTCCATATATTCTTAATTTGCCTAACTGTACTCCAGACGCACAACATGGAATTGTCTCCACGTTTTGCACCACTTTCCAACAAACAAGCATCCATCAGGTTCTAAGAATCCCAAATGTTAAGAATTGCAAATGTTATGTCTGAGCAGTCAGTGATCAGTATTTGAGGGGGTGGTTTGGTACAACAGAAGCCAGGGATGGTTTATAACAGGGGACCTGTGGCCCTCCAAATGTTGTTGGACTACAGCTCCCATCAGCCTCAACCAGCATAACCAGGGACTGTGGATGATGGGAACTGTAGTACAAGAGAAATCTGGAGGGTGCCAGGTTCTCGGTCCCTAGCGACAGACCAGTTGGTGCATTGCATCCTGATTGCAGTTATGTCTGCTGTGGCCTGAAAGCATTGGTTGCATCTTAATTCCAGCAGCCTTTCAAGACTGGATTCCTGCATGTCATGTCCCCTGAAAGAAATGAACATGAAGAAAGGCTCTGATGCTGGTAGGTGCAGAATGCTGTCTTTTAATGTTTTATTACCAACACATCTCTCAATGAAATGGTCTTACTGCTATCAAAGGGAAATCCCACACATCCTTTGAATGGGATAATTCTCAGATCAGGTGCAAAATTCTACTACTCCATAAAAGTATATATTCGGGTTCACAGGGTGTAGACTTCCCTCCCTGGCCTGCTTTTCCTTAGAACCTCAAGTGCAAAGTGGTGTTGGAATATATGCATGTACCCTATGAGTCATACAGTGGGTGACTAGCCTATACAAAGCTATATCTGAGCTACTACAGAGCAGAGATTTCAAACCCCCCCCCCAAAAAAAACCACCTATTTCTGGTTTACTCACAAGCTACATTGACTTCAGCAGCCTAATTGAGGGAAGGGGAAAATACCCCCCCCCCATTATTACACAAGAGGAAGTAAGAAACCCATGTCAATCTTTTTCAAATTATCTGGCGCTCTGCTAGTAGGTTTGATTTACCTACTGCCCACCCTTGTTCTAATACATGCTTGTGATAGCATAGAGCCACTAGAATCCTGTAAACTGAGCTATAACAGATTCTGGTTTAATCTTCAAGGAATCTCAGGTTTCTGATCCACTGTATACAGTTACTTAATGAAGCCTGCCCGGAGCAGAGACGGGAAGCTGCAAACTCGACATCATAAACCTGTCCTTGTCTAGCTTGCAGAAATTCCTGTTTAGCATTAATATGTATAAATCAAACAACTTCAACCAAGCAGCCTCGGAACTCAAATTAACTGAAGAGTCTTAAGCTAATGGCAAAGAAATCTAGCCCAAAACAATGCCCATTAACTCCTTTGTAAGAGGGTAAGGAAAGAAGAGCCTCTGGGAATGAGACGAAAGGCTTCTGTAGTCCAGCATCCTGTTCTCACAGTGGCCAACCAGATGGCCGCAGGAAGCCTGTAAGCAGGGCTCAAGTACAACAGCAACTGCAAGTGGTACTGAGACATACTGCCTGTGATGTTGGAAGCAATGTAGCCAGCATGATAGCCTTATCCTCCGCAAATACGTATTTCAAAGCCATTCAAATTGGTGGCCACTACTGCATCTTGCAGCAGCAAATTCCTTGGCTTCACTGCACAGTGTAAAGAACTACCGTATTTTTTGCTCTATAACAGTGTTTCCCAACCTTTTTTGGGCAAAGGCACACTTGTTTCATGAAAAAAATCTCGAGGCACACCACCATTACAGCCCCGTGACGTCAGCGCGCAGCGTCACGCCGGGAGGGACGCACGAAAGTGTAAGATTCAATTTTTTTCCCTCCCCCTTGCCTTCCTTCTGTGCCAACCGCCAAAAAGCCAAGAATCGCGGGACCGCCGGCGGAGGGGGGAGGGCGAGCGGAGGCAGCGGCGAGCCCCGTTCCTCCCCATCCGCCCCATTCCGTGCAAGGAGCGCGAACAGGTGTGAGAAGGGGGTCAAACCTGCGGGTCGGCGCCGGGGAACCTCCAAGCTTTGGGGGTGGGGGGGAGGAGGCAGCAAAGCGAGGCAGGAAGGAGAGCGCGGCTTGGCGAAGTACTCGGCGGCGAAGGCCAGCAGTGCCGCAGCACCTCCGCCGTGTAGCCCTGCAGCAGCTCAGTCAGACCCGGCGGGATCTCGATGCTCATCTTGTAGCCGAGGCGCGCGGGAGACTCAACGGATGGGCCCGGGGGAGAGAGAGAGAGAGAGAGACACGACGGAGAGAGAGCGGGAGTCCCTGCTCGCCGTCGCCACCGCTACAACTACTGTGGCGGGTGGTCGCCGCCGCCGCCGCCCACCTCTATCTATCTCTCCCCTCAGCTTTCTACGCGGGCCTCGAGCCGGAGGTGGGGGGTGGCCGCCGCCGCTTTCTCCGCCTCCACGTCCTGCCTCCTCCTCCTCGAGCCCTCCGTCAGCCCTGAGGGAACCGCCGCGCTCGCGCCGCCGCTCTCTGACACGCGAGAAAGAGAAAGGAACGGAGCGGCGGGGTAGTCGGGGGAAGGAGGGGTCGGAATGGAAGCGCGAGGCGAGCTGCGCATGCCCAGCAGGAAGCGGCGGAGAACGCCACAGAGAGAGAAGCAAGGGAGGGCGGGGAGTGGGCGGGAACACGCTTCATGCGTCACAATAATGGACAAGAGGCGCTCGAGGGATAGATTAGGACCTAATTTGACTTTTACAAAAAAAAAAATCTTTCGAATTTCCCCCACGGCACACCAGGCAACATCTCGCGGCACACTAGTGTGCCGCGGAACAGTGGTTGGGAAACACTGCTCTATAAGACTCACTTTTTCCCTCCTAAAAAGTAAGGGAAATGTTTTGTGCATCTTATGGAGCGAATGCAGGCTGTGCAGCTATCCCAGAAGCCAGAACAGCAAGAGGGATTGCTGCTTTCACTGCACATCGATCCCTCTTGCTATTCTGGCTTCTGAGATTCAGAATTTTTTTTCTCCTTGTTTTCCTCCTCCAAAAACTAGGTGCGTTTTGTGGTCTGGTACGTCTTATAGAGTGAAAAAATACAGTACTTCCTTTTCTCTGTCCTCAATCTGCCAAACTTCAGTTTCATGGGTAGGCAAGAGGGACAAAAACCTTCCTCTATCCACTTTCTCCATGCCATATATAATTTTATACACCTCTGTCATCTCTCCCCTCCTTTGCTCTCCCCCCCCCAAACTACTAGCTAAGCTACACATCAACCCAGAATCAAAATCAAGTGGGATGTTGGAGATAAAGGGAGGGGAGGGGGTGGTCTCTGCACTGTTCCAGCACCTCTGTGTAAATACTGAAACTGATGAAAACTACTGTGTTGGGTTTGCAACACGACTAGTGCAATCCTGTTTATGTTTACTTGAAAAGAAGCCTTGCTATGTTCACTTGACCCTTGCTTCCACTGAGTCTGTTTGGGATTGCAGTCTAAACCAGGGAGATTGGAGAGATGTGTCACTTAGCAGCCACTCTTAAAGAAGTGTTTGCTCTTATTAGCCTGTCACATTGTCACTCACCTATCAGATCAGCTTGGCAATGTAACAGCAGTACTGTGGTTTCAAAACATGCCCAAGTGATAATTGTGTAGGAAAGCAGTAATTCCAGATGTGAGATATTCATTCCTTTGACTAAAAAAAAAGTTCCTGTTAGAAGGAAGGAAAATACATAGTTATAATAGGGTCAAATTAGAAGACGGACTTCAAATATTAATATTAGTTTAAATATAAACCTAAATAATTCCTATCAATATTACATGAGCATGTGCAATAAAGATGTTGCACCAAAGGGAGTTTCCAAATGAGTAATTTGTGTTAAATTGGCCAAAGTTTTGTAGGTGATCTTACATTTGTCCCATCTTGAAGAACAACTACTTGTCCCATCAGTGTTTCTTAGGCCAACACCACAACTATGAGAGCTTTGAATGCAGAGTGCAAAACCACCCTGCCTGTTTGTTTTCTGGGGACCGGTTCTCAGTTGGTAGCCTTACCACCTAAACCTGTTTCCATGGTTTTCTTTAAGATTTCTGGGAAACTCTTGACGGAAGTGGTGTCTTTCCATTCTTCACCAGGAACAGTTGTCGTAGGCAGCTGCTGATTGCACCTCTTCATTTAAAGAAAGTTCTGAATCGTGGCATTTGATCAGTAGCACCTTTTAGAGCAGCAAGTCATGGACACAAACCGCCATCTTATGAGATAAATTCCTCTTGGCTTTCAAATCAAGACCTGTTTTTATGTCTATAAATGAAGGCATTGCAGCCTTATTGAGCGGGGATGTAACATACTGGGAAATTTTTTTGCAACAGGGACACGTGGTACAATGCGATACAAAAGCAAGGAGGGGAACCTTTGTAGATAACCTCATACCTGCTCCACCACCACCCCTCAAGAAATGGATTATTGATGTTCAGAAGAGCTATAGTCCACTGCTGGGCCCTTCTCCATGGAGAACCATGGCTGGAATTGCACCCTTGTCCATCTTGATTTCTTCTGTGCCAATCAGAACGAAGGAAGAAAATGAGGACCGAAGGAGCCGCAATTACAAAATGAAATGTTAATTTGTAAATACGATTTTTTTAAATGTGAAAAAAAAGTTTTAATGTGCTGTAGAATAAATTAATTTTATTTACAAAACAAACTTGTAAAAGAACTGGGAAAAATAATGGTGTTCTGATCTTTCTTTGAGG